CGATAATGATTGCCAGCAGGGTAGAATTACATCATCATTGATGGAGAGATCAAACTAGTTCACTTGATATCAAAGCTTGTTCTGAAGATGGGCAATAAAATATTCTCAATTAAATCAATCAGCTTAGAGAACACAATCAAAATTTAAATCATTCATCAATAAAATCATTCCTGATTAAGCGTGAATTGGTAGAAGTTAGAAATCACGGGCCAATGAATCGAGTCCCAATGGCTGAATGGTAGATGAGTTTGCCTCCTAACTGGAAGGTCATGGGTTCGAACCCCGGTTGTGGGTGCGTACTGCCGATGATTCCTAAACTGGGATGAAACAGCTGTCCAGTACTTCCTGGTTTTCAATGGTTCTCTAACTGATATCAGTCCGTGATCAACTGGTAAAAAACAAAACTAACCTTTACAAACCGAACTATAGAAAATAATTTTCGATAATGTGAATGTCATTTAACTGAATTTTAGATTTTCCCGTCGTTTGGTTGCATAGAAGTGCTCGGTCTCAGGTTGACATGTCGGCTTCTTGTGCAGATACTTCGACGATGTCTGGGCATGTAATGAGAAGTGAGCTGGTGGATAGTGGAATCCAGGGTAACGCGCATTTCGTCCTATTTGGGACTCGTCATCTGGATGTACCTGCATTCTCCAGTGATTCAGTGATGATGTTCCCACCGAGGCTCGAACCCAGTGCCCATAGTTTCAAACACCAAAGCGCTATCCACCAGACAGCTTTGGCATCGTGGACTCCACTCCTAGTCACCATCCACCACTTCACTTCTAATTACATGCCCAGACATCATCGAAGCATCTGAACAAGAAGCCAACATGTCAACCTGAGACCGAGCACTTTGGTCCAATCAATCGACGGGAAAATCTAAAATTCAATGAAATAATTAATATGACCCATTGCACAGGAGGTGATCTAGTGGATAACGCTTTGGCGTTTAAAACTATGGACACTGGGATCGAGCCTCGATGGGAACATCATCACTCACCGGGGAATGCAGGTACATACAGACGACGAGTCCCGAATGGGGCGAAATGAGCTTTATCCTGGATTCCACCGCTAGTCACCATCCATCAATGAAATGTGAATGTCTGTTCTCACTGCATCTTCTTCACTGGTTTTACTTAAAATTAGTTGAGGAAAAATCTAGGTATACTTTCCATATGAGATATAAAAATGTTTATAATCTTCAAAGCATGTATGTCTGTATATAGGTGTGTATGTGTGTGTATGTGTGTGATTTCGATTTCCATTGCATCATGCACCTACACACACACACTTGAAAGTACAGGTAAGTTTTTTTCACCTGAGTAATTTATTTGGTTCCAAATTTGAAAATCCCACAGTTGCCACAGTTATAAACTGACTATTGACAAACACACATTCACATATTTCGCAAATGCCAATCACAAAAACGGTGGAAATAAACGATATCGTTTTGTTTTAATTTGAGTGTAATATTAAATATTTATAAGGTGTTGATAAAATAAGTAAACAAAATTGAATAAATTGAATACATTGAGTAAAATAATCATTTGTCAAGTCAATATTTTAATGGAGTTTAAAGTGTTAATTTCAATTTCAATTATTTATTCATTTTATCCGCAAGGTGTAAGTAGTTAATATTTGAATTTTTTTTAAATATTAGTTTGAAACTATCATGTTCAGTTTAACCCTAATCATACATCAACTTCCTTTCGTTTTAAAGTTGTACAGATGACATTTGTTTAAATTGTTTATTTTGACAGAGAAGATTCAAACCATTCCGAAGGTCAAGTTTGTTTCTTATATTATCAAGAGTTAGTTTTGTAGTTTGATTTGTTTCAAGTTTGATCACGCGGAGATATCAGTTAGAGAACCATTGAAAATTAGCCACAAGGAGTACTGGACAATAGTTTCGTCCTAGTTTAGAACTCATCGACAGTATGCACCCATCTGATGCTCGCTAGTGACTGACTACAGGACAAAGTTGCCTGGATAGTTCTAGTGACCAGTCTTGACCGCTAGAATCCACCACCATGTCAGAAGTGAGGACAAGTACTCAATGATGACATTAGCTGGTGGTGGTGTTAAAATCACGAATTGGTAGAATCTACGATTCATAGACTTGCCATTGAGTTGGCTCCCAGTGACTGAATGATCTATGAGCTCATCTTGTAACTGGAAGGCCTGAGTTTCAACCCCTCTGGTGGATGTGTACCGCCTATGACTCCTAAGTTATGTTGAAACAGTTATTGTCCCGTACTCCCTATCAGTTTTCAATGGTTCTCTAACTGATATCAATCTTTGGACACATTTTTTATATTAGCCAATGATTGCACGTTGTAGAAAATAGTGTCATCATTGCAATTATGTCTCTGGACCTCTATCTGTTACGCCATGGTACATGGGATAAGATAAGTCAGTCAATCACCTGCTGACTAATATGTTAGAAATTATTTCGTTTGACTATTGATACTGTTCCAAAAATAAGAACCAGATACACAACATTGGTCAGGCCCTTAATACTAGTCAATATAACCATAAAATTCCTACAAGAGGTCATTTATGGACCCAAATAGTACAATGATAATAATAACTGATTACCTCGTAAAAACAAAACTAATCCTTACAAACCAACTAGAGAAAATTAATGTGATGCTCACTAGTGACTTGCCATAGGACGGAGTTTCCTGGAGTTCTAGTAAGAAGTCGTAACCAGTTAGATACAACCAGTCAAAAGTGAGGATGGATTTCCCACCGATGACATTGGTTGGTGCTAGTCACGCTAAATCACGAGTTGATAGAAGTTAGAATTCAGGGACTGGCCATTGAGGAGTCGGGTCCCAGTGGCTGAATGGTATACGAGCTTGTCTTGTAACCGAAAGGTCCTGGGTTCAAACCCTGGTAGTGAGTACGTACTGCCGATGGTTCCCAGACTAGGATGAAACAGCTGACCAGTACTCCTTGAAGGTTTTCCAATGGTTCTCTAACTGATATCAATGCATGATGAAACTCGTAAAAACAAAATTAATCCTTAGGAGTCAACTACAGAAATACATATATTCTATATTAGCTAACGGTGCTCACTGAGAGCCTCCAGAAAATACAATGTAAACTGGAGATAAGCAAAGTGACGTCAGTGAAATGTAATAAAATAAAAATAAAATATCACCAGGGATAGAATCCAGAACTTTCTGTTGGCGAGGCCAAACCGGTTAATCCTTCAGCCAATCGTATCAGAAATCGATGACCCGTAAATTCTAAACTTCGTCCTAGTTTGATAGTATTCAGTAATACTCACCCACTGCTAGGGTTCAAACCCAGGACCCTCCGGTTACAAGGTGGGCCCGTAGAGCCTATAGCCACTGGAACATGATCTCAGCTTCTGACAATTCGTCATACATAGAACGCAACCGCCAATGCAACCTGACTTGGTGAACCCCTCTGTTTACGACCCGTTACTAGAACTCTATGTGACTTTCCGTGTAAAGGAAGTCACTAATGAGTATCAGATTAATTTTAATGTGTTGGTTTGCAGGGATTTGATTGGCTACATGTTTGTTCATGAGGTGATATCAGTGGCTGGATGGTCTAGTAACTGGAAGGTGCTTGGTTCAAATCCCAATGGGTATATACTAATGAAGAGTCTCAAACTAGGACGGGACAGCTGTCCAGTACTCCTTGCTGGTTTTTCAATGTAACTCTGAATTGATATCAACTCATTATCAATTCTGTAATCTATCGAATCTCTATTTATTTATTTTTTATTTTTGATTACAGCTTGATTCCACACCGTACAAGTATGGAATTTTCAGCATGGATATCGGTAGCCCAAATTTTGCAGGCCAACCATAGATATCAGGTGTGCGTCGGTGTGGGCTCGAACCCCGGACCATAAGCATGGTCGGCGAGAGTCCTAACCACTGTGCCACCGACGCCAAGACTTAATAATTCTAACTACGTTAACTGATGATAAAGTTCTACCCTTTCCAACGCTTTCTACATTACATTGACATGAAGTTGTAACTTTAAAGAAAATCAACTCACACAGACCAAATAGTGAATTACAACAGTGACAATACAATAACACACAAAAGGAGTTGTATACAAACACTATTGAAGAGAGCCAAGACTCATGGACGTCTTCCAAAAGAATGGATAACCACCGAACTTCATCAAAAGACATCTATCCCCAAGCCAACCTAATAAATCAAAGACCTTCAAGGAAAGCACAAAGAAAGTCGCCCTACCATATATAAAATACATTTGATAAATCACTACAAAACTGTTCAAACCTCTAGGAATTGATGTCGCACACAAACCAACAAAATCACTTTACTCAGTTGGCTCTATATCAACCAAAAGATTCAACAACGAAAGAAGATGAAACTAACATCATCTACAAAATAAGTTACAACGACTGCAAAAAACGCTTCATTCGTCTTCATATCCATGAACATAAACTAACCGTCAAAAGAGATGATATCCACTCTCTCATATCGCTGAACACAGACAACCATGGACATAAATTCCACTGCGACAACCGACGTTCAAATATTAGACAGAAGAAATACCATGAGTGCTAGAGAATTTTTAGAAGTTTTCCTGGTATTCCAGTCAATCGTCAATCAATAGACACATCGAGATAGACAAAATTTACCGACCAATAAGAAGGAAACCTCAAACACAAAGGGTCAAAGTTCAAGTCAGAAAAACAATCAGTTAAAATATAAGAAGTCTACAGGGTGTGAAAACACACAAAAACAACCTACCACGATTTTCAAGGTCACCATGAGAGATGATTAAAAGTTCACTTCAAATCGGAGTATGCACTGAAAATGTTACCTAGTAAGGCAACGAAAGCTTCTCAAATAAACCATCCACTTTAACTACACACAACTACATCAGGAGCAGAGGTTAAAGATTCAGTATTTAAATCCATAATGAATCACAACATCAAAATGTACACATTAGAATTAATAAAACAACCAGTAGGCACTCACTTCAGCAAAAATATATGATTATGTCATTAGAATATTGATTAAATCCTATAGTTATCATTTTGTATGAATATTAATCCAAGTGAATACAAATGTCGTAAGATCATCACTGCTACTACTGCTGCAAGTATGAAAGGTGAATAGATGATGGTGATGATGATGATGATGAAAGCGTGACTCTAGAATTTAAGTCTCACGTTCCTTCCTGCCTTTCTTTCTTTAGAATTTAAACAAATATCCGATAGAAATTTATCATTTTCGACAACTTTTATGCTCAACAAATGTATATGTGATTAATTGTCATTGGCATTCAATACTCTTCTATCGTATACTTCCAAAAATATCCTGTATTGTTACGTATTAAAATAAATATCGTAATGATAAAATATAAAATTCGTAAAAGTGAATGTCATTCAGATCAATTTCTTCAACTTAACATTTGTGTTTACAATCACTCTCCCACTGTCTCTCTTTCTCCAACACACACCCATACACATACGAACGCACTTACGCGTCCGTACACCTATCCCAAAATCCTATACGTTATTTCCTAAATCTTGTTTGTATGTATGTAGGTCTGTGACATTTGGGTGGATAGAATGTATGTGTGCATGTGTGTGGGTGTGTGGGTGGGTGGGTGTTTGTGTATGTGTTCATGTCAGGTGGACTTTTAGAAGGAAGACAACTGGCATGCATATATTACGACGATAATCTCATACTAATAATTAGGAGATCAGAACAGAAGTGATTTCTGATTGGTCAGTTTGCATGTCATTCTGTTTGTATTATAGATAGTAGATATATATATGTATATCCTACTTCTCTATGACTTCTTAAATATAACTAACCAACTAACCAACCAACCAACCAACTGACAACAAACGACCAATGGACAACATCGTCTACTAACCATTACCTCAACTTATTCTTACGATTATACTACTTATAACGACGACTATACACAGACAGTCGTCAAGTCGGAATTGATTTTTAGAAACAAAAAAACTTAGTGTGGTTTGAAGGATATTGGTTACTTTCCTCTATTTTTTTAACACGTTATATGTGTGCGTTGTTTGTCTCCACACTGTGTTTGGATCCATCGTTGTGACATATTATATAAATAAGAATTTGCTCCCCACATGGTTAAGATTCGCGTATTATTATTGCTCATAAATCAAGACTTGTCAACTGGGTAGAAATATATTTTTAAATCTTTAAATATTCCCATTATTATTATTATTATTATTATTATTATTATTATTATTATTATTATTATTAGAACAAGACATAAAAGAGGCAGCAATATTGTTTGTTTTTTTAATTAGATCTTCAGGCTTTACTCTAATTCATGGAAAATTCCCATTGTAACATATAGAAAATTAAAACAAGTGATTCAGCGAAGAGACTCTTTTCAACGAATTTATTATCAAGCTGTACAGTCGTATATATATGGTTTTTAAGACTTTAACTATCTAATCATTCCCTTTGGGACACCTTCCAATTTGTTGAATGTATACAGGATAAAAATGCGTCGAATAAACATGTTGTCTTTGGATGTAGAATCCCTATTTACGAACGTTCCACTGACAGAGACCATATGTTTTATATGCAAATATATTGAAGACAACAAATTGAATATAGGGATACCCACTACAGATCTTAAAGAACTACTTTTGAGATGTACATTGAATGTACAGTTTACTTTCAATGAAACAATCTACAGGCAGAAGGATGGTATTGCGATGGGTTCTCCCTTGGGTCCTCTCCTTGCAGACGTTTTTATGTCCAGTCTAGAAAATGGTTCCCTGAAGCCTATGATCCAAAGCTTTCAAATATATAAAAGGTATGTAGATGACACCTTTATTATTTGTAATATTGATTGTAACCTGAATAATATATTAAATGTATTTAATGATTGCCATCCTGCGATAAAATTCACACTCGAAATGGAGAACGAGTCTAGCATTCATTTCCTCGATGTGAACTTATCAAGAAGGACCGATGGAACTCTGAAGAGATCGATTTATCGTAGGCTGTTATGGAATGGTCAACTGACAAATTTCTATAGCTGGGTACCTATTGGTCGAAAACGAAACCTGGTCCGGTCGCTTGCCACTCGTATTCGGCGCATATGTAGCACTGATACTGTGGAAGATGAGTTATACATTTTGAGGAAAATCCTAATGGAAAATGGATTTCCACCACGTTTTATAGATAAGAATATACATTCAAAGCCTACAAAACGTGACTTATCAACCGCTCCCAAGAAAATACTTTACATGAGCTTAGAATTCAAAGGGGACTTAGCTTCCGATATCATGAAACGAAGGATATCACAGTCCCTGAAAAGAACATTCCCTGCTGCCTCTCTGAGAATAGCTTTTACTAGCCGACCATTATTGTTCAATAACCTGAAGGACAAGATCCCAATGTTGACCAACTCTATGTGCGTTTATCAATTCACCTGCTCTTGTGGAGCTAGGTATATCGGTCGTTCGACTCGAGTTTTGTCCAAGAGGGTGCAAGAACATTATCCTGCATGGCTACGAAAAGGTGGAAGTGGAGCAATAAGAAGCGCGATCATAGAACATCTGGTCGAAAATGATCACCCTATCTCTATAGCCTCCGCCTTTAAAGTCATCTACAAGGCAAAGAGCAATTTACCTAAATCCCTACGTACCCGACTCATCTGTATTGCTGAAGCTTTGGCTATCGAAACAGAAAAGCCAGATCTCTGTGTACAGAAAAAGTTCGTTCAACCCCTCCAACTTTCATGGTCTTAATCCCTCTATGCTAAAATATGGTAATCCCCAATCATATTTTAGCTCTACCAATTTTTCATTTTTCATTTTGTCTATTCAATTTGTATACTCTTCCTTATTAAGTCAATTGTTATTATTACTATTCTCACTTTGAACTGTCCCCGGTATTATTTCACTTGTTCCACTTGTCATTCTAAATCAATTCTTTTTTACAACGATAAATTCTATGCTATTAAATTTCACACAATATTACGTAACGTTTTTGTTTTATTCGATTTGCCTACTAATCCTATAATTGCACATCCTTTTTCAAGTTCTATCCCTCCTATGAATTATTCTATATATGACATTAATTTGCTTTGCCACTTGACATTTAACTATGAGTATAGGCACAAACATTTTAGTTTTTTAATTGATAATAAATTCGTTGAAAAGAGTCTCTTCGCTGAATCACTTGTTTTGATTTTCTATATTTACTCTAATTTACATAGATTTACATAAAGAAATTTTTAACCAATGATGGTGATTTTGTGAATCAAATAATAATGATGATGTTCGAAAGTAGGAAAACTTCGTTAAAAGGCAAGAATCCACCAGAGAACAATTATTCTTCTACAATGAGTGCCTTCGTCATGAAATCCTACCGACCAGTGTCAGATATAAACCACTAGTTAATGCCCCAATGGGATGGAAATGGGCCGAACAATGTGGGAGATGAATGGTCAGATTAATGATTACAGATGCACATTATCGGATCAACAAATATCAGCAAATAATAGATGCTCAAAAAGAAAAAAAAACTAGAGAAAAAAAAATTAACCAGGAACACGTGTCAACGCTGATCACCGCAATTATATTGTCAAGTAGAAGACACAGGGAACAAAGACAGAGAGTTCTCAAGACCAAGCTAGTTAAGGCTAGAAAACAACATCCAGACAATGCATCTATTGACTTTGTAGTCAACCTATCAAAACAACCACTATCAAAAATAGAACAACTCCTACAAAAAGGATTAAACTACAACACTGAAGACGCTTCAAAAACTGATTTCTTCACTGTCCTTGAATCATTCTTCAAATCAACAAAGTTGAACGAGGAAACGCAAGAAGAGATACGTCAAATAATCGTACAATGATCAAACAGAAAAACACACACAACTGAACTCTCAAAAACTAAAGGCCCTAAACAATCTGAAAAATAGGAAGGACATCATCATTCTACCAGCTGACAAAGGAAGAACAAAAGTAGTCATGAAAAGAGAAGAATAGACCAAAAAAGCTGAAGAACTATTCGAAGATGAAGATATATATCAAGATATATATATCAACAAATCCCATACAAACATTAGACAACCTCATCCAAAGAACCGTAAACAAGCTCGCCAAAACTGGACAGATCACAAAACAAGACCAATGGCGAATAAAATCCAATGGACTGGCCCTACCCCCAATTCTACGGCAGACCCAAATATCCCGTTACGACCAGCTGTATCACTCCCAGGAACTCCAACATACAATTCACCCAAAGAATTATACAGAAAATGGACTTGAAGTATATATCATAGTCTGAAATCCATCCAGTACAGAACATTTGACAATAAACATTCGAATAGTAAAAAGGGTCACTGGGTGGCTAACTAAATGACTTCAAAAGAGGTTCCATTTCCAGTACTAGAGATTATTTCTACTCCTTCCTTCCCTTCTGAGTAGAAATTAGGCTCAGGCAGTTTACTGCCATCACATTCTTCATGATTTCCTCATAATGATTTTCTCCACATCACCTTAGGATAACCAAACAACCCCTTCCATTCCAGTTTCCCCTGGACAGGCAGTGTGGTGTGTAATGCAACCTGAATGTCTCTTACTTTCACATATATTCAATTTATTTCATTCCCTCCATTTGAATATTTGTTGTTAAATGAGGTTCTTAGCTGGTGCAGAGAAAGTTTCTAAAGTCAGTGATGAAGATGATTCGTGGTATCACGGAGCTATATACTCCTAGCTGGTTGATATAAGTAGTTTAATGTCACTCACATTAAACCAGTATTATTGGCTAACCAGATCGTAGTGATCTCGATGAAATTATGTTATTTATATTCAACTACTCAAATCAATCAATCATACATACATACCGTTTTACTCTTATAACTATCTTCTTGATTACCATTTGTAGTATCAAACAAGTCACGTATTATAATGTGAATAATTTTGGTTTCTGAAGGAAGCCTTGGTAAAATTTCACCTCCTCAAAATGTGTAATTAACAAATTGAGAATTTGGTTCCAAATTCCAAAAAAATTCTATACGAGCATTGGTTTAAAAGTATCTGCAGTGGTTAAGTTATTTTGTACACTAATGTAGCATAAATGTGGTGACATCTGTCTGCTAGCCAAAATTCGTAGACAGCAATTGACGTCAATGTTTTCGTCCCATATCTTGGTCATGAGAGAAAAACAATAACACAGCCTAACCTTGAAGAACTCAACAACCAATCACAGCGGACTTCGTGTGGGCGGATATTTGGTCTGACCTTCAAAGTCAGGGGATGACAAATTAAATTTCAGCAAGAAAACAACTAATCAGAAGATGCTGTTTCCCTGCTAATAATAACGAATAATAATGTACATAAAAATCTATAAATATCTGTTGGTTTTCTCAATGAACGATCTGTTTCCTGGCCCTTGTCTTCTGTTCTTACACAAACGTGTATACGTTTTATTTTTTTTGTTTGTCTGAAGCCTGCTAGAAATGCTTTTATTGACACACCAAGTATCTGACGCGTATAGAAGCACTGACTGACTTGACATTCTTGTTCTCTGTGCTTAATGCAGCAGATTTCCACACTGATTTCAGACTGGTGAAGGTCTGTCTTGCTTTTCCGATCTTGAATGGCTTTGACATCGTCATCCATGCTATCTG